CTGGTGTGCTTTTGTGTACTCCCGTCGAGATGTGGTCGTCATGAAGTTTGTCTGACAGACGGGTATAATGAAAACAAGTGCTTGGGATTGTGGTGTCTCCTAATTACAAAATATAGTTTGTCTGTCAACGGATGGTGGAAGTTTCTTCTCATGCCAAGTATTTGAGGATCAGCTATTAAAAAACGAACTGACGCCATCTAACGATTCACTAGGCAATCCTACCTTCATTGTAGGAATATGTGGATGATTTGGTAGATCGAAATGGAGCTGGCGCCATCACCAGCAACCTGGCAGCGAGATTGATATTATGGTATCACAAGGCCCCCGTAGAACTTGCACTATCAACCCTGTTCTTGATCTGCGCCCATACCAGTTCAGCCGCAATATGCATTTCTTTATTTAGCATTGGGGCTCATTCTAGGTGTTGCAGTAATTGACTCTGGCAACAAGTGGTTGAAGCATGAGTAACTACCCAAACAGGTAGGTTGTAGGGCGGAATATGGAATGCGCTTGATGCTATGCTGTAAGATTCTTGATGATTGTGACTGGTATATAAGTCGATAGGTTTCGCACTCATAGTAGCTTGCCAGTACATCCCCAAAACTAAACCTGTAGCCATTACATTCTATCTCAAGATGGCGCCGCTGATCCTCGGAGTTCTGTTCATGTCAGTTACTGCTGTATCAGCCCTACCCGCTGGTAGTAGTTCCTCACAGGCCATACGCGTACCGCATCGTCGTTGCGGCCCAGTCTCCGAATTCTTCGGCCAGACGGCCGACGACTGGCAGAACTACGGCACTGACAAGTGGCTCGAAGATTGGACCAGCAGCCACACTGCCGACATGTCCAGCAACAGCAATGGATTCGCCGGCGCGTTCGGTCAATGGGCCATAGGGAACCCCGACTGGTCGTGCCGCGACGACGGCTCGGCCAGCTCGTGTGACCTCGACCTATGCGACAACAACGTCCTCAATAACCGAGGCGGCGACATCCGCAACGCCTACTACGTGCTCGAAGCCGTGAACAGGCTGCACTCCTACTTCACGGGCATATCCCAGGCATTCGAGACTAGCGCCATCGCCGCATCGCTGAGCAAGGAGTCGTGGTCGCTGACGTTCTACGAGTCGAAGGACAATACTGGCGCTGTCAATACGCTGAAACGGGTCTTGACACTTTCCACGACCATCATTGGCATCGGCGCCGCCTTTGCCGGACTGGGTCCGGCGGCCCCGGCTGCTTTCGCGGGCGCCATGGCGGCCGCTGCCAGTGGCGCCTCGGCCGCTGCGCAGATCCAACTCAATGCGGCGTAAGTATAACCTTCAACAACGAGACTCTTGGAAACAACAGAAGGGAGAATATGAAGAATCGCTAACTGAGATCCCCATATTCGTTGATATAGGCAGGATGACACGTTCGAAAAAGACGCCGACCTAGGCAGCATCCTGGCCAAGATAGTCGTGGGCTCGATGAAGAGCTTCACGTCGGCCAATAACCAGCTCGTGGCGGGGCAGCACTACGAGAACTCGGGGGACATCAAGACCTACCTATCCCAGGGCGCCTTCGTCGGCTTCGGCGGCGTCGACAAGAACAGCGTCATCGACCAGATGAACGCCTTCCTGCTCGGCAGCGCCGTCAACCAGCTCTGGACCCAGCAGAAGGTCTTCATCCTGGGCGGCGGCCAGTGCGGCGACGGCCAGGGCATCGGCTCGGGGCCCCAGGACTACGGCGTCTGCCGCGACGGCAGGGCCTGGTACCTGTACTACTGGCACGAGGGCAACGGCGACTTCCTGTCGGAGAAGCAGTGGGGGTACGTCACCATGCCGCCGGGCGCCGACCAGCTCGGCCAGGGCGACTTCGCGGGCGTCTCGGTGGCCGACGTCATCAACTCGTCGCTCGACTCGTACAACGTCGCCGAGTACGCTTATGATGCCGACAAGGCGGCCGAGCGCGTGCAGGACGCCCTGGGCAACGGCTGGCGGAACCCGGGCGCGCAGGGCCCGTCGTGGGAAGGCACTTTCACCATCCCGGTGTGCGACGTCGGCGATGCCGTATATCAGGACTGGTATGCGAAGGAGTATATCTTGGAGGAGTACGATGGGAATGCACGGCCCGTTTGGTGCGGTCCGATCTGCAGCAACGATTGGGATAAGACGAAGCGGTTCATCGAGGCAGCGAATATGGGCAACTTCAAGAGCCCCAAGCATATCTGCACCGAACACGATATCGATATCTATTACTAGATCGATATCGCAATAGGTTTTCTTGCGATGGAGATTGGTGTTTACATTGTCATTCATGTGCTTTTATATCCTTGGGTTAATATACCGTAATACCTGGTCTTGAGTTGTTTCTGTATATTAGAGCTGAACCATTTATTTGTAAATTACCCCGGATTCACCTTGAATCAACCCAATCATATAACTCTTAATAGTCATGAGATCTTGAGTTCTAGCTGAATAGACGGAATCTACCACTTGCTAACAACTCATAATCAGTCAAAAGTCAGGGGGTGTAACGCAGGACTGGGTATACATATCCTCAAGACGTTTTGAAGCGCTTAAATTAATCTACCGCATAAAGAAGTCCTAGTGATATCAAGATACATAAACGATTGTAGTCGAACATAAATTGCTCCATTGCCCCCCTACGAGGACCCCTATTAGTCGCAACGGGACTGTTTGGCCGACATCACACAAGTCTAATACCCTTGGCTGATCATTCCATACTCCCATCCAACGAACGCCTTAAACACAAGCTCCTTAAGTTGAACCCCTGATACACGATATCGGTAAGCCCACGCCATGAAAGGAAGGATAAGTACGCTTTGACTGGTGAGTCGGCATACCTAATAACCAAGTATCACTGTCATGAGGTTGTTTGGCGTGACAGCATCCTGGCCATACTGGCACCTACGCATGCAGCGCCCCCGGCAGCCGAAGGTATCTAGCAAAAGAAGGGGATCTGGCATAGTGTGTGCCATTGACCGTGCCATTAGCCGCAGCGGAGTGGTTGGCATATAGAGCGCCAGTAGGTACGGCGGTGGTAGCAGCGGATGCAAAGGCCGCGAAGATGATGAAGCTCCAGTACATGTTGACAGTAGTAAGCTGTATTGCTAGCGAATTATGACTTGATAACTGGCGATGCGGGAGACGTATTGTTATATTTTGATAGTATTAGTTGCCACAATGATTTATTCTTTCCTCTGCGGCCGATGTCAAGCATTTATACCTTTGACTGACTGTGCCAATTGCATGCGATTATTAAGGCAACCCGGCAAGGGCTGCCGTTATCAAAAACATTGTCTAGAATGAGGAATGAATTGACAAAAACTCCAGATAGGCGACTAGCGAGTGTTTCAGACAACAAGAAAAACCAAAAAAATGCATGTCCAATCACAGTACTGATTTTGGTTCTTTCGAACCAAGCTGGCCTTTTATAACCTCCTGGTCATACAATCGCAAATATGTCAATGGAGGACCAACCCCTTCGCTTTCCGTACCTCGCGCGCTGATCCTGCCGTCAGTAATCCTCGACGGAAATACTGTTTCACAGATAACAGCATTAGCAACCTTGTCTCACCCCGCGGAGCGACGGACGTCCTTCCGGCGCGAGGGCGTTGACCCTGACACCGTGTGGCGCCAGGGTTGTGCTTGCATGTTTCGTCAGATGAGTAGTCGCAGCCTTGCTGCTAGAATATTCAGGCACAGAGTCCCTGCGACGGCTCAAGCTAGCCACGCTTGACGCCACGACTACCTGGCTTTGGGTCGAAGGGAGCTTGATCCCCTGTTTCCCCGGTGCACCAAAGCCTCCCGTTGAGTGCCTTCTCGTTGCCGACGCCCAAAAATTTTACGAACGCCAAAAGGGTGAAGTAAGTTACCGTAACCTTAGACTTTTGAATAATGACACCGTGAAGCTCTCCATAGACGCCTCCTCGAGGAATCGCTTTCGAACGTTTTGGATGCTGTCATTGGCTGCGAAGCTTCGGTGGGAGCCGTAGGCACCGGAATTCGCGATCAAGACGTTGGTGAATACCGCTGCTCTGGTAATGGTATCCACCGTGGATTAGAGTTATATCTTCGATAAGATATCGCATTCCACAGGGGCAAGACTCAAGTGCTCCGATGCGGCGGTCTCGAGAGTAGCTTTTCGGTCGCCAAGAATGTATCTATGCCTCCTTTGCGCCGGCACCAGCGAGTGCCCTCGCCATAGGGAACCCAAGGCCTGATGACAGTTTAATGGAAATGATGTACCACGATGATCTGTAAATAAGGACTCCTATCAGCAGCGGCTAACATACCTAAGGGGTGGCTCAGCCCCTGGGCCGTATAAGTGGCACGAAGTAGTAAACGAGCGGACCTTACGGCCTCCCTAGCGGTTACGCGAACTAGTAGATAGTAGAGTATTCAGGCACAGGAAAAATGTTTCATGGACTCTGGATAGACGACGATGATAGCAGCCCTTATTGGCTGTTGCCGTGATGGACGATGGCAATAGCAGTCCCTATGACTGTTGCCATTCTAAACGCTTGCCAGTGCTTGCTGTTCGGGATGCCGTTGCTCCCCGCCCGCTGTGCCCCTCGTTAATCACACATTATGTGCGTACTTACACGGATCCCAGTCCTGGCAGAAAAACAATCATACGTAAAACCCCTATTGCCCGCCCTACCGCCTCATGGGGCCTCCGGCCCCCTTAGCCCCCTTAGCGGTCATATAGGGCTATCCTTCGGCACGCACTACCGAAAAATCATGTGCTGTCCTGTCCGATGGTATCTCAAAGAATGGTTGTATTCAAGTTAGCTGGGTAATCACTCCGAAGCTTCTTCCTTCGCAGACTTGAGATAGGATCAACAAACCTAAACATATTTCTTCCGGAAGAGTAAGACATCAATACATAATTCCGAAAGAGGGGAAACCTGCAAGAGATTAGAAAGAAAATAAGAGAAAGAAAGAAAGAAAAGAAAAAAGAAGAAGAGAACATAAGAAGAAAAAAACAAAAAGAAACACCGACTGCCGGATTCGAACCGGCGACCTCTGGCTTTCGATGATTTGGAATGTCGGATGACTCCAATCGGAGGCCAGCGAGCTTCCACTGCTCCAAGCCGGCAATGTGCCATTCATACCAGGTTGGGGATGTTTCTCTGTCATGGGATATCTATACAACAAGCAACCGGGGGCTCTCTTGCCCTTTGGGACTCTGAGTGGGTTCTGCGAAAGGTCGGGTGAAACACAGAACTAATACAAAACCGGCCACTTGATCTCTGACTTGCCGAGTCGAACATGAGAGAGTGGTGCAGGAGTGGTGCAGGAGTGGTGCAGGAGTGGTGCAAGAGCGGTGTTGAAGCTACCTAGGTATTGTCCAAGGAAGGGACCTCCAGCCCATGACATGCATACATCACACACATTGCACGTTGACAGGAAGCTACACACATTACCTAAGTAATAACCTGGGTGATACCTGCCTACCTAAGCATGAACCCAGTAGAACTAAGCCGGTATCACCTACCTTACACCATGTACTTGACCCATAATATTATTGACAAAAAGTTAATACAAAATTCCCATCAGGTACCCCTAAGAGCAAGGCTGTTTATACCTGGCATATTATATAGAACAGCTGCTATCTACCTACCTAGGTAGGTAGTTAGGGTAACACAGCTGCCCCATGTTTATGACCGTCAGTGATTAGATTGACCCCTGAGTGCTGTATTTGTGTGAATATCAAGTGGCAGTGGTTGGACAGCCCGGGTAATGAACCAACTTGTCTAACTGCATGCTTTTTTTGATATGACCAGCCAATACATCGATAGAACGTAATTCGTAGGCCAATTGTTCTTATGTAGGAACGTATGGGTTTATTCAAGAAGGTTAGGTATGCAATGTAGTCATCTGAGCTTCTCAAGGTGAAGATGGCAGCAGCTACTAGGTAGGATGCTATGGATATTGAATATCAGCTCAGCCAGGTTATCAATGTATAACCTACCTAGGTAGTTAGTTATTGACTTACCCTTTATTGCAATACTCATGCAATGTGTGTCCTTTGACATGCGGATCAAACAGCCGCACACTGATCACACTATATCTAGGTAACATTGTCGAGGAAGCCATACAAGGGTACAGCAATGGGCCAAGTATGTTCCGGATGCCATATTTCGCCCAGTGTGTGGATTGGGTGGTGTTGTAGATCATGCGGAGCACCGTACCAATGGTTAGTTGCTTATTGCATACTCTCTGCGTTGCATTCTGCCAAGCTCTCCATAGTCCTGCCTGACCAGTGTTTACTGCATATGCAAAACGACGCGTTTGTCAGATTGTAAAACCTATAATATACACTGGCACGGTAAGCAATTGCCATCTTCTCCCACGAATCTTCATCGCACATGCCCCCTCGAGTATATCCAGCTGGTACAGCAAGATGCCGGGTAGACCCGTGATTCGATGGTCAGTATTGACATTGCTTGCCATCCTCGGCGTGAGCGGACAATCGGCATGTCCCGGCTCTTGCACAGCCCTCGGCGAAATCCCGCCATTGATCGAGGCAACGCTAGAGGACCTCATGACCGGATTGCAAATGGGATTGTTCACTAGTGTTGACCTCGTCCATGCATACGCGACTCGGATCTATGAAGTCAATGAGACTCTGAAAGCAGTCGCCGAGATCAACCCGGATGCAGTAGCAATTGCTGCTGAAGCCGATGCCCAGAGAGTCAGCGCGGAGGTATCGGGCCCTTTGCATGGGATACCCATTCTCTTGAAGAATAACATTGCAACGAAGGACGCGATGTCAAATACAGCCGGGTCCTACGCCCTACTTGGGGCTACCGTGCCGGAGGACAGCACGTTGGCTTCCAAGCTTCGCAAGGCCGGCGCAATACTCCTGGGAAAGACGAACCTCTCCCAGTGGGCCAACTTCCGCAGTTCCAACAGCAGCAACGGATGGTCAGCCTTAGGAGGCCAGACGGAGGGCGCATACTACCCGGGCCAGGACCCATCGGGTTCGTCCTCCGGAAGCGGTGTATCCTCCTCTCTCGGGCTTGCACTTGCCGCGCTAGGCTCGGAAACGGATGGTTCTATTGTATCGCCTTCGAACGCTAACAACTTGGTTGGGATCAAGCCTACCGTTGGGCTGACATCTAGGCATCTTGTCATCCCGATCTCTGAGCGTCAGGATACAGTCGGACCGATGGCGAGGACCGTCAAGGATGCAGCCTATGTCCTTGCTGCTATTGCTGGTGCTGACTCAAAAGACAACTATACCTCCGCTATCCCGTTCGAGGAAATTCCCGATTATGTATGCGCTTGCACAGAATCTGCCCTCGACGGAAAGCGAATTGGGATACCTAGAAACCTCATTGATGTAGACGAATCTAATGAAGCATATAAGCCGATCATTGAGGCGTTCAATGCCTCCCTCGATATTCTGCGCGAAGCAGGCGCGACGATCATCGACGACATCCACCTTGAGGGCTACGACACTCTAGCTACGACCGATTTCGAAACCGTGGTGCTCGACGTGGATTTCGTGGCGAACCTGAGAGGCTACTACTCTGGATTGGCGTCCAATCCCCGCAATATCACAAGCCTGCAAGAGACGCTGGACTTCACCCAGACTTTCCCCTTGGAGGAGTTCCCATCGCGTGACACGGCAGTATGGGAGCTTGCACTGAGCCGCAGATTCGGACAGGAGAGCCCCGAGTTCTGGTCGAACTACACGGCAAATCAGTATTACGGCGGGTTGCTAGGCGTGACTGGCGCCATCAAGAACTTGTCGCTAGATGCCTTGGTGCTGCCCACGGTTTTCTCTGCACATCTCCCCGCGATCATTGGGTCTCCCATCATCACTATCCCCATGGGAGCTTATCCAGAGAACACACCAGTCGTACAAAACCAGCGAGGCAACCTAAACGCCACGGCGCCCAATATTCCCTTCGGGTTTGCGTTCCTGGGTGAGCACTTCAGCGAAGAGAAACTGATCGGAATGGCGTATGCTTTGGAGCAGAGGACTTTGGTGCGCAATACAATCAAACCTTACCTCGAGCCGAAAACCGAGGTAGAACATGTAGTGAAAAGGAGGTTGACGAACGAGGTCTCGTGAAGGTACGCAACTGGGGCTTACCGACTCCCTTCCGTCAAACTGGGCCGTGCCATTGTTAGGGGTCGTTTCGATAGTTTGAATTAGTTATGGTAACCCGGCAGGCAGCCTGCGTAGGTAATATTGCTGGAATGCGACCTATGCCTTGTTTTTGAGTAAGCGCGCTTCGAACTGATGTATACTCCGATGTCCTATGTATGTGCACATTGAAGTAGACTGCCTACATTGTAGTGGTTGATAGAGCGGCCCTCAATAGCAAATTATAGGAGTAGTTGTAACTTGTCTGTCGGCATCCTCGGGATACATGAGTTGATTTGATGGAGCAGCTGGACAGTGTGTATACTGTACGATGGGTGGTTCTGGTGAGTCACACACTGTACATCAATCAGAGCCCCAGAAATTCCAAATTTCAAGAGGTCGACGCCGTTATCCGAGATTCGATTTGTGCAGTACCTACTTCATCCATAGATATCTACAACCTGAAAATCTCACCAACAATCTGAAAGACCATCTCACATCTCTCACCCTCCAGCAATGCATCTTCCACCGCCCGAACCACGGGCCGACGAATTCTACGTGCAAATGGGGTCGCCCGCGGCACAGGACCTTGCCCCCAGCTACCAGGATCCGTTCGATGACGTCTTCGGATCGGATTCTGAAGCGCCGTTCGGCGCAGGGTCACATGAACATTCGAATGCCAACGACACGCTCCCGCCAGATATCAGGAGATTGCAAGTCACGCATAGCACCGAGGGCTACCGAGAGGGCATCACGGTCGGCAAGGCGCAGAGTATTCAGGCTGGGTTCGACGAGGGGTACAACCTTGGCGCCAATGTTGGACTAAAGGCCGGCCAACTCCTAGGGCTTCTAGAAGGCATCGCTGCCGCGCTGGGGCACGCGCTGGCGCAGCGCAGCAGCAGCAGCCCCCATCGTGACCATACCGCATCCGCCACCCATGCAAGCCAGTTGCTTACAACCGCTCGACACGAGCTCAGGACAGAGAGCATCTTCGATGAAGCATATTGGGCTCCCGACGGCAGCTGGAAGTATGATGTGAAGGGTGCAAGTAATGATGGCGAAATCTTGTTTGAAGACGTCGCCAACGCGCACCCTCTCATCTCGAAATGGACACAGATTGTGAATGAAGAAGTACGGAAATGGAGTCTAAACCTTGACCTTCCCGCCCTTAGGAGCAAGGAGCCATCAAATGAGGAGGTCGCGCCCAAGACAGTCAAGCTTGAACAGCAATCACGACAGGTAATGGAATGGTAGTTGCCTGGCGCCTGCCGTGGATTTGCACCGTACCTGCACCACGATACGCACCACGATACGCAACGAACTACAATGAAGTAGGTACCTGCCTACCTACACTACATGACTGGATACTAAGTCTTTACCATCGCAAAGCCCCTCGACTTCTGTGCACTTGACTTCGCTACATACGCCGCTATGCGGAACTGTAGCCTGTCTATCATCAAAGCGCCGATCAGTCTGTGATCCGCGTTTAAGGGGAATACGACTATGAGCAACTCATGGCCAGCGAGCGGCCTTCTCGACTTCGTATTGAGACTTTGGGACGGGGAAAGGTTGGGGCTGTCAGAAGAACGCACCAATGACTACGAGTCGCAATGACTTAAGACAGATGACTAACGTTAACTAGCCTGTACTCGGCACACTGCATTTCATAGCAAAAATACATGAGAGTCGGGAAATTGTGGGACACGACTTTCACCGCTAAAAACGGCAAACAACCCCAACTTGAGCAGAGGCAGGAAGGAGCTAGGCTTCTTATCTAATCCTTAGCACCCCCCAAGCAAAAAGAAGAAGGAAAAAAATCCAGCCGAAAATTTCTGAAAACTTCCAGGCTCTTACCACGACACTACAAAAGAACCTACCGGAATCATGTCGGACCCAAGCGTTTGGCAGACATCGAACAACTGGCGCCGAGGTCCGTCAAATGACGCACCGGCACGACCAGCTCCCGTAGGGCGGCCTTCGGGATCGTGGCGGGGCAG